AGCAGCAGGGCTGCTTGCCTGTTGGGCCATCCAGAGTTTGTGGGCCATTTGCTGCTGCTGCTGGAAGGAGACTGGGGCGCGGGTTGTGGGGTGTTTGTAGTTGAGGTGTACGTGCAGGTGCTGCTGCTGCTGCTGCTGCTGCTGCAGCGCGACCCCTTGTCGCTGCAGCAGCAAAATGCTGCAGCTGCTGTCTTCGGGTTGCTGGAAAGGACGCTGCAGCTGCTGCTCTCTGTCTTATCTCCTTATCTAAATTCCAGCAGCAGCAAATGCAGCAAGAGCAGCAAATATAATGAATATGTTTGCTGCAGCTATGATCAGGACGACGCAGCAGCAGCAGCAGCAGCAGCAGCAGGTGCCGCTGGAGGAGGCTCCGCTGACTGCAGCTCGGCCCTGGCTGCACCCCCTGCAGCAGCAGCAGCAGCAGATGCTGCTGCTGCTGCTGCTGTTTCTTTTCCTCTGTTCGAAGTGTCGTTGCTGCTGCGGCTGCTCGACTGCAGCAGCAGCTTCTTGTGTCTGTACACCTCAGCAGCACCGCAGCAGCTGCTGCAGTTCTTCAGAGAGGAAGAAGGAGCAGCGCGGCTGCTGGGCCTTTTGAAGTTTGCTGCTGAACTCACCGCCACATACCCGCAGCAGCAGCAGCAGCAGCAGCAGCAGTGGGAGAGGGCAGCTCCAGCAGCTGCTGCTGCTGACCCGCTGCAGGGGGAGCCCTTTGAGGGGTCGGAGTGCAGCAGCTGCAGCAGCGAAGAGGCAGCAGCTGCTGCTGCTTCTCCAGATGCTGCTGCTGCTGCTGCTGCTGGCTCGGGGCTGGAAGCAGCAGCGCGTCGCCTGCTGCTATTGGCTGCTCCTCTAGTCTGCAACTCGCCGTCCTCCTCTCTTAGCTGCATGCAGCCGGCAGCAGCAGCAGCAGCAGCAGCAGGAACAGCAGCAGCAGCAGCAAGCCGCTGCTGCTTGCTGTGCGTGAGCAGCAGATTGCACATAATGGCAGCACGGCTAATGTTTGAGAGCCTCTTAAGAAGAACTGACATGCAGGAGGTAAATAAATAAATAAATAAATAATAAATAAATAAATAAATAAATAAATAAATAAATAAATAATAAATAAATAGAGTAAATAAATAAATTAATTAATTAAAATAATAAATGGCAAGGAGCAGGTGGTTGTAGGCCGCGTAGTTGCTGCTGCTTTGCTGCTGATTTGCGCGCCGGCAGCCGCGTGTGCTGCTGCTGCTGCTGCTGCTATTGCTGCTGCTGTTGCTGCTTTTGCTATTGCTGCTGCTGCTGCTGCTGCTATTCCCACTGTTGCTGTTGCTGCCACAGCTGTTACTTTTAATGCCTGGTGCCCCCACTTTTAATGCTGCTGCTGCTGCTTTTCGTGCTGCTGCTGCTGCTACTTTTTATGCTGCTGCCACTTTGAACGCTGCTACTGCTGCTGTTTCTAACGCTGCTGCTGCTGCTGCTGCTGCTGCATCTACCTGCTGCTGCTGCTGCTGCTGCTGCTGCTGCAGGCTGTGAGTTTGCCACGTTCTGCTGGCTTGGAGCTGCTGATGGTCCTCTATGGTTCTCCTTTTTCTTCTGCCCAGCTGCTTGCTGCTCTGTGTCTGGCCGTGCTGCTGCAGCAGCGCTGCTTCAGCGAACAGCAGCAGCAGCAGCAGCAGCAGCTGCAGCAGCAGCAGCTGCTGCAGCAGTTTCATAGGGCTGGATGCCTCAGCAGCCCCACAGCAGGGCGCCTCTCTCCGGGCTTCTGCTGTCAGCAGCAGCAGCAGCAGCAGCAGCAAGAACTGAGTCCCCACGGCCTCTCGCAGCAGCATGAGCAAGAGCAGCACGAGCAGCAGCAGCAGCCCGAGCAGCAGCAGCAGCAGCGCGGCTGCTCGCCGGCCATGAAGGCTGCTGCTGCTGCTGCTTCTTTTTCAAAACCCCTTTTCATAAAGGAGCAGCAGCAAAGAGAAAGGGCGCTTTTGGCTGTGGGGTCTTTGCTGCTGCGCCTTATTGCTTCGGCTTTGGGGCCCCACAGCAGCAGCAGCCAGGTAACAGCAGCAGCAGCAGCAAAATGAGTTTAAATGGCATTATTTTTGTTTCAATTTATTAATTTTAATTCGGAAATCTCCCGGCAGCAAAACTGCTGCCTTGCTGCTGCAGTTTGCTGCTCGTTTGTTCTGGTCGGCGCAGCAGCAGCTGCAGATGAATGAAATTAAATAAATAAATAATAAGCAAATAAATAATTAATTAGATTCATTAATTGAACAATTAATTACTTGTTCATTCGCATTCTGCTGCAGCTGGTGCTTGTCTGCGGCTGCTGCAGCTGACGGGCGGCCTGATTGAGCAGCAGCTGCTGCGCTATTTGCTGCAGCAGGAGACTTTGGGGGGGTTGTTTGGTTTGCTGCTGCGGTGCGCTGCAGCAGGAGGCGGTGGCAGCGCTGCTGCTGCTGCTGCTGCTGCTGCTGAGGTGGACGTACACCCGGGAGGCGCAGCGGCAGCTGACTGTACACCTGAACACAGCAGCAGCAGAGAGAGCGACAGAAATGAACTTTTGTTTTTTGTCTGCTGGCTGATTGCTGCTGCTGCAGCAAACAATTGCTGCTGCTTCCAGCAGCAGAAACAGCGCCTGCTGCAGCAGCGGCAGCAATCTCGCGTGCTGCAGAGGCTGAGGGCCGCAGCAGCAGCAGCAGCAGCAGACGCAGCAGCGGCAGTAGCGCCAGAAGCAGCAGCAGCAGCACGGGAGGAAGGCTACAGACTCCTGTCTTCGCTCACCGACAGTCCTTCGGACTCTCCAGAGCAGCAGCAGCAGCCGCAGCAGCAGCAGCAGCAGCAGCAAGATATGTTGGGAGACGAGAGGGAGCCAGATTGCAGCGATCTGGAGACAGAGCCAGATGCTTTTTCTCTCTTCAAGACAAGAGACTCCTGCAGCAGCAAAGGCCCTTCTGATTTGCTGCAGCAGGTGGCCAGGCACCGCTCGCTGATGCTGCTGCTGCTGCTGCTGCTGCAGCAGCAAAGCTGCAGCCCAGCAGTCAAAAGGCTCTGCGCGTTCATCTTGCTGCTGTGCCCCATATGGGGCGCCGAGGGGCATCTGCTTCTGCAGCAGCAGGAGCTGCAGCAGCAGCAGCAGCAGCAACAGCAGCAGCAGCAGCAGCAGCAGCAGCAGCATGGCGAATTCAAAGGCGTCTCAGAGGAGCAGCACAACCTGCTGCGGCAGTCTGAAAGGGACAAAGAGCCCGCAGACAGGGATGAGGCAGACCAGCGCTTACTGCTGCTGCTGCTGGAACAGCAGCAGCAACAGCAGCAGCAGCAGCAAGAACAGCAGCAGCAAGCGGGGGAAGGTGCTAAGGCCCTGCAGCTGCCTTCGGACGCCCAGCAGCTGCAGCATCAGCTGCTGGAGGCCCAGCAGCTGCTGCTGGAGCTGCTGACAGAGGAGACGGCCAACTTGCAGCAGCAGCTGCTGCAGCAGCAGCAGCTGCTGCAGCAGCAACTGCGTGTGGGGCTGCAGCGAGGCATTTACCTTCCCCCTAAATTCCTGCAGCAGCTTTCAGCTTTTACTGTTGGCCATCAGCAGCAGCAGCAGCAGTTGTGGCAGCAGCAGCACGGAGACACGCAGCGGGTTGCGCCTGCTGCTGCTGCTGCTGCTGCTGTTGCTGCTGACTGTGCTGTTGGAGAAACTGGAGAACCAGCAGCAGCGGCAGCAGCAGCAGCAGCAGATAGTGGGCTGGAGAGCACAGTGCGGGGGTGCAGTTTGCTGCTGCAGCAAGCAGCAGCAGCATGTGGGGCCCTCAACAGTTGTCGGCTGCTGCTGCAGCAGCAGCTCATAAAGCACTGTGCTGCAGTGGAGCTGTTTGCTTCTCAAATAGAAGCGCTAGTGAGTTATTTATATATTTATTTATTTTTATTTAATTATTTATTTATTTATTTAATATTTATCATTTATTTATTTATTTTTTATTTATTTTTTTATTGTTATTTATTTGCCACTGTTTGTCATCTGTCTCAGCCGTTTGTTTGCTGTTTATCACATTTTCGGTTCATTTGTTTCTGTTTATTATTTATTTATTTATTTATATAATTAATTAATTAATTAGTCAATTTATTTATTTATTTGTTGCTTATTTGCTCCCTTGTTCTGCTGCACCTGTTTGTTTTGCTGCTGCTGCTCGCCTGCAGCAACTGGCGCTGCTGCAGCTGCAGCAGCAGCTAGGCCCCGAGCTGCAGCAGCCGCTGGCAGATGGGGCCTCTTTGGCTGCGCGAGAAGCAGCAGCAGAAGGGGAGCTGGCAGCAGCAGCAGCAGCAGCAGCACAGGGAGACCATGAGCTGCAGCAGCAGCAGCAGCTGATGCTGCAGGCGCAGCAGCAGCAGCAAAAGGAACTGAGAAGGAGAGACGCACTGCAACAAAAGGCAGCAAAAATCAACAGGGAGCTAAACCAACATCAGAGGGTCAGCAGCAGCAGCAGCAGCAGCAGCAGCATGCCCTCCCTCCTTTGCTTTTTAATATTTATTTGTCTCATATTTTGTCTCCTGTGCTTCCATTTGTCTCCGTTGGCTTTCCTCTGCTGCAAGCAGCAGCAGCAGCAGCATCAGCTGCTGCTGCTGCTGCTGTTGTCCTAGCAGTTGCTGCACCGTCGTCTGCCGTTGCTACTGCTACGAGTACTGCTACGAGTACCGCACTGCCGCTGCTGCTGCTGCTACTGCTGCTGCTTCAGTTTACTTTGCTGTTGCTGCTCTGAGTGTGGCTGTTGCTGCTGTTTCTGCTGCTGCTGCTGCAGGACTTAGCAGCAGCTCCAGACCGCCGCCGCCAGCTGTATGGACAGCTGACCTATCGGCAGCAGCTGCTGCAGCACCTGCAGTGTCTGCAGCAGCGGGAGCAGCAGCGGCTGCAGGAGACGCAGCAGCAGCTGCAGCAAGCAAAGAGAGATCAGCAAATCCACGAGGCTCTCGTGCTAGCAGACACAGCAGCACAGGCACGTTCCAGAAGCAGCAGCTGCAGTAGCAGCACCTGCTGCTGCTGCTGCTTTCGGTGGCCCTTTGCAGCAGCAGCTATTACCACTGCTGCTGCTAGCAGCAGCAGTGGTAATAGCTGCTGCTGCCGCAAGCAGCCCCAGTAGCAGCAGCACCGCTATCGTAGTCAGCAGCAGAAGCAGCAGCAGCAGCAGCAGCGGCAGCAAAAGGGTGTCTGCGCTGACTGTGTTGCTGCAGGCAGTGGAGAGCGCCCTCAGCGACAGCAGGAGCAGCAGCAGCAGCAGCAGCAGTAGCTCGCGACTAAAAGTGTCTCTTGCTTTATCTGCTGTTAGAGATATGACTGAGAGTTTAATAACGAAAGAAATAAAGACACAGGTAGACGAATTTGCTGCTGCAGTTCAGAGCAAACCAGAGCAGCAGCAGCAGCAGCAGCAGCAGACGTCAGCCCTAGAAAGCCTCCTGCGAGTTATTAGGCAGCAGCAACAGCACTTGCTGCTGCTGCTGCAGCAGCAGCAGCAGCACCAGCAAACGGCAGCAGCACCGGAGCCTTCCGGGCATGCAAGTGTTGCTGCACCCGCAGCGGCCCCTCTAGAAGCAACAGCAGCAGCAGCAGCAGCAGCTGCTGCTGCTGCTGCAGCTGCTACTGAGTCTCCCGCAGGAGGGACGTCACCTGCTGCTGCTGCTGCCTCAGCAGCAACAGCAGCAGCAGCAGCAGCAGCAGCAGCAGCACGGGCGCAGCGTCTGCAAGGCTCCTTAGTTGAGATTGAAGGGGCCTGCAGCCAAGCAGCAATGAATGTGCAGCGGCAGCAGCAGCAAATCAAGCGGACTGAGCTGCTGCTGCAGCAGCAAACGAACACAGAGCAGCTGCAAGAAAGAGTAGATGCACTAACTGGCGAACTCAAAAGGTGAGCTTCCTGTTGCTGCTGCTGCTGCAGCTGCTGCTGCTGGTTTTGTTGACTGCTTTGCTGCTGCCGCTACTGTTTTTGCTGCTGCTGATTCCCCTGCGTTTGTTCTGCTGCGCTTGCTGCTGCTGCTGCTTCTGCTGCTGCTGCTGCTTGAAGGTCTGAGAGCGAGCTGGAAGACTGCGAGCTGCTGCTGCAGCAGCAGCGGGAGCAGCAGCAGTCGCTGCAGGTTTTGGTGGTGAGCTTGTCTCAGCAGCAGCAGCAGCTACAGCAGCAGGAGCAGCAGCAGCAAAAGGCGCTGCAGCAGGTGCAGCAGGAAACAACGCGCAACCGCGAAAGGATCGACTCGTTGCTGCTGCAGACACGCGAGCTGCTGCTGCTGCAGTGGGGCCGCGTGCTGCTGCTGCAGCAAGACCAGCTAAATATACATAAAACAAATAAAAAGACCAGCAGATTAATAAAGAAGGAGCAGCAAACGCGGCTGCTGCTGCAGCAGCAACTCCGACACTCAGCAGCAGCAGCTCAAGTCTGCCTCACGCAGGTCCAGCAAATACTCTAAACCCTAAACCCTAGCAACTCCTCTAAACCCTAAACCCTAAACCCTAAACCTCGAGGGAGAGTGTCTCTGGTTTCTAAAGGGACAAAAGGGAGAAGACAAGTTCTTCTGAGGTGTCTGTACACCTGCAAGCGGCGAAAACTTAAGTTTTTTATTCGTCTGTTTTTTTGCTGCTGCCCCAGGAGGGTTTAGGGTTTAGGGTATAGGGTTTAGGGTTAGCTGCAGCTAGCCGCTGCAGCACAGCTTAGTGGTTCAGTGGTTAGCTGCGAAGTTAAAGGGAGGGTGCAGCAGCAGCTCGCCTCTGCTGCAGCAGAGGCGAGCT